TGAACACCAACTTTAGATTGTACTAAGAGAAATTTTTCTTAATTGCTTTCCTAAAACCAAATCCTACATTATTTAGCCCACCTAACAATCTAAAATTTTTTTCATACGTCTAGATTCCAATTATGCTTGATCTCACTAAACTTTTTAGGTGAATTTATAAAATCTAGAAAAACAGTGCATGAAAAGCTTTGAAAAAGCTGTATAAACGTAACAGAAAACAAGCTATAAAAAAATCATTAAACGCGAGAGAACAGTAAGAAAAGATTGGTTTTAATTAGAAAGTTCCGCTAGCAAGACTGTCTGCTGCTTACCACCAGAAAGGCAAAGCTCTACCAAGGAACATAAACTAAACCTTCTAACAACCGGACCTTTTCAAGATTCTTTACCACTTAGATGTTAGCTTAATATTGTTCAGGTACTACTCTTAGAGCTTCTAAGTAGGCAGCAAAAAATTGAAGCGAGCAAGGCTGTGTCAAAGATAGCACGGACCACGATAATAAGGGTTCAGAAAGTTTCGCTACTATTTATTGCGATAACATTTTGTCGCTTGAGAAAAGTTTTGGGTGTCTAGAAAAAGATATCGAATTTGAGCAGAAACACAGCATTAAACTGGCGTTATAATTCTTTGTTCTTGGTATTTTACGATGACATCGCTTGCATTTTTTATTTCTTTAAAATTGCCATAGTTATAGTAACTGCAATTTTAAGCTTTAATCATACTTGTTTCAAATACGCATAATTTTTTTTTATTTTTTTCATCATATTTTTTACATAAGTAATTATAAAATATTACTGGAAAACCTACAGGTATAATTTTTCATTTCACTTTTTTCTTCTTTCTCATATCAAATTTAACTTCCCTGACGGCTTGTTCGGTTGTCACAAAGATTTTATTTTGTCCATAACACTACACAGCCTCATAACAGCCTTTAGAGTTAGCATTTGCTTTTATAATTAATCTATTAAAATTGTTAACACATACAAGTGTAGTAAACATTAAGCTGCTTTTTTTTTTCACACCATAAATTAAACGCCAGTCTATTGCTTTGAATCAAATTATTTCCGTTGTCAGTACCCCTTAAAACTTTGCTAACGGTAAGCGGCATATAAACTGAGAAAAAGAAATAAATCTAAAAAAAAAACAAGCGTACTTTTTTAAATTTTTTGACGCTAAAACCGACGTTATTCATATGTTGCTAAAGTGAAAAATTGCCCAAAAAAAGGTGATTTTCCAAAAGCAGAATCTGTTTCGTCACTTTGCCTTTTTTTGCCTTCTTGTTTGGCAACAGAAAGGAAATAATGTGGTAACACTTGGAAAAAATAGATTTTTTTTTTAGTAAGCCATTCTGTCGTTTTACACCACTTTTTATTTCATTTTACTCTTTTACCTTACTAATATTTTGAATGTCCCAAAAGTTTTTGGACTGCTTAGATGCAGCGATTAAATGTTTAAAACAAACTTTGACGGTATATATAACATGAAAAAGGACTGATATTATAGGTATATTTGTAAAAAAACTTATATTATCTCTGAACGTTTTTAATATTTGACTAATAGCTAGTCAAAACTATATTATTTCAACGATCATTTAGAAAAAGCATTATTTTTGAATCTACAAAAAAGTTAGTAACTCTATATGAAACAATCTGTACAATCACTTACTTTATAGTTCTTTTTACTTGGTGTTGTTTTTAATTTAACCCAATCTTTAAGTTGAATTAAACTATCTAAAGAATTTTTTTGCTTGAAAATTTTAATACGAAAAAAATTTTAGGTAGCATCGTCATGCAGTTACATTGGCATGCTGGCTCCTCGGACAGCATTGGTGCTGAACTCAGTGGGAGTTCTATACGCGTTGATGTGTTTAGCGGTTTTGATCTCTCTCGTCAGACATCTGTTCGGAAGTCGTGAAGCATGTTCTACAGCATTAACCTATGATCAGAAACAAATAAACATTCAGAGTCCACCGTGCTGTTGCTGTTGCAAATTTTTACCGGAATTCGCAAGCACCGAGTAGGATTGATCTTTGCAATTAACAATGAACAAAATTTATTGTCTTTAACGCAGGTGAATAACGCTGTTTTTGTAAGACTTTTCGACTGTATTCAGAAGTGAAAAAAGCATGAAATTTTCTGAAATAAACAAATCATTGTTCTTGTTGATATACAAATGATGCTACTTCAGAAAAAATTTACGAAGATTAGAATGGTTGGTACTTCAAGCACCGATAATTCGAGCCGCTGTTGTGTTTTTCAATATTGCTGCTGTTGCTGAGCATCGCGAACATTCACACGTGTTAGTTAGAAACTTAAATTTTTGGCACTATTTTTTTACCATTAAGGACCGGATACGAATGACATTTTGACAGTCCACGCAACTGCTTTGTTAAGTTAACTGAGAAAAGTTATATATATTCACAAAAATTTTAAACCTTGGCAAAAAAATCACCATTTCTTTTTTTTTATTATTTTTAAATAGATAAATTACTAAAAATTATCTGTCTGGAATAAGTCTTTTTCGAATTGTTTTTTAGGTATCTACAAATTATTGAGGTAGCATCTATTTCATCAGTGTTATTAGCAATTTTTGGAACTCAAACAATGGCACGACTTACCGGGGTAAGATTTAATACTAAAAAAGAGTTGCATAATTTATTTCAATCACATTTTATGATAAATTTATAAAAAAAAACTTTGTTTTTTAAAGGCAAAACTAGCAGATTACGGTTTTATGACTATCTTTCGAGCAGTAGATATTACACTCGTGCTTATTACCTCACAGCAACCACTGATTTTTGATGGCCTAGTACTGTTCAACGTCATTCGTTGTGGACCTTTATTATCCGCTCATGATAATGCAAGATGTAAGCAGAAAAAGAAATTATTAAAACTATTTATAACTAATTTCTCATTTTTTGGCGATTTTTTTAGTCTTAATCTGAGAAAAGACTACATCTGAATAATTAATGAATTTTCGGTTTATAGGTTGTCTCAATTTTACATGAACTGTGTACTAGAGAAATAATTATTTTTTTAGTTATATGCAACTTCGTA